GGCACAAATGGCATATCACGTAAAGACTTCTCCAATGTCTATGGTGTTTCGCTTATCGCCGATTCGTTTACCAGGCGGTGATTCGATGCTGATGGAACCGCTGAGACTCGGCTCACACATCGCAACCAGAACGCTTCAGCTGCGACTGCGACCGACAGCGCTCCTCCGCTCATCATTGGACCATTGCTGCTACCAACATAATTGAAGCAGAACTTTTCGAGGATTGTGTGACATCTAATCCTTTTGATACGGCGAGACAGCAAATTTCCTCTAGCCGTCGATACCCTCTCGTTCTCTCCCACGCGGATCGGTAGACGATAACGGCCGGTTTATTTTTGGGATCACAGGTGACTTAATAGTGGGAACGGTGGTACTAGTGAATTACTAGTGGCCTCTGAAGGTTAAAGAAAGGGTGAAGTGTAGTAATAAGCTTCGAACCCCTAGATCCCTGATTGCATTCCTACAAAGTTTGCTTTCTTGGCGTCACATAGGCTGACAGAATCAGTACGGACGAAAACGTGTCCAAAAAAACCCGAATTTTAATACGAAAAACTGAAGGCTTCCATCGTCAAGTTCTTGGTGATTTCGTAGAACATCTTTCGCCCCTTTTGGAATTCTCAGAAGCTCGCAGCGGAAAAAAACTACTCTTTTCTAAGTTCACATGATTATGCTTAGGTGAAATGCATCTCAGTGTGTCGGATCAGTGTGGTGTATGGATCATAACGAACTCACCCTGACCATAAGCGTAGTGTTTTGAATAGCAGATATGATTTTCCTCATCCATTTTGATCCAGTACACATTTTTCTCAATGTATATGCTAACACCTACGTTATCTTCAGTTTCTACTTAGCTTATACCTCACCGTTTTTCTCGAAGTCACCCTGCTCACGGTCGAGGTGGGACGACCGTTCTTTGAGCTGATGAGTCACTCTGCGTGCCTCACAGCAGCGCGCTCTCCCGTCTGTGCTGGCCCCGAGAGCGAGACGCAGAGAAAAAAACGGATTAGTTGTCCTAGGACGCTTTTCGAGAGCTGTAGCGGGTCAGTTATTAGAGGTGGAGCGTTATCGCTCGCATCGCTCGGTGCTCTTAGGCTGCGTTCATAGTTTGCATCGGGGTTTTGAGTGTACGGCAGCGTTTTGAGCGTTCTAAGCGTACGGCAGCGCTTTATGTTCAGATCGACTAGTGTAATATAGGTACCGATCTAGCGTACACCAACGCTCGCAAGCGTTTTGAGCGTACGCCAGCGTACAGCAGCGTTTGGCTGCGTTCATACTTCGCGAGCTTTGGTGACTGCCCGCCAAAAGTTTAAACCTAACCCAATACGCTCAACACTACGGCGTACGCTCCGAAAGCTAGATTGATACTTATACCTCCCGTCACTCGAAACGTTCAAAACATCGGCGTTCTCTTGAGACGCTCAAAACGCTATTGTACGCTCAAAAAGCTTATGCAAGGTATTACCCAACGCTTAATTTAATCACTCGAGCACCATGTGGGGCGTAGACGTAGCCTAGAGCTGTTTTCTTTTCTTAGTATATCGTTTCTATACATGGGAAAAGTCGCAAGCAGTCTAGGGCAATTAATGGCGCTTGATGCAGGACACATCATTGGTTGGGGATTTTGGTCGAGTCCGTACGACCCCCCCCCCACGTTTTTTGGCGGGGGTGGGGGTGGTACAACCTACCCCAACACCTGGCCCTCTGTCTCTCCTCATTCTGAACGAGCCGTCGAGCGGGGGGGAGAAAGGGGCGAGCCGGCCTTTATATTTACCATACAAACAGAAAATCACGAAAAGTCAGCCACCATCTCCCACCGCTGCCTAGAGGATCAGAAACTCAATATCGAACCCCCCCCCCGCGCCTTTTAAAGACGTCCGTAGCAAGCAAAATCAACTAAAAAATAAATTTTCTCGCTACAAATACGACCCCCCTCCTTCTGTTGGGGATTCCTCAACAAAAGAGTGCCCTTGCTTGATGTAATGCAAAATTGCTAATAAAAATAACAGCTTTAGACTATTTCCTGTCCTTGATGAAAATGATCTGATAAGTAAAAGTGGTTCCACTGTAACTAACCTGGTTGGCACAGGAATGTAATAAATATTTCACAAATACCAAGGTAAGAAGTACAAATACCGAGGTTCTGAGGAGAAGATTTAACATGGAATTATCTCCTTAAGAGTTTCAAGCAGAGAGTCAGCCTATCAGCTCATACGTTTACTGTGAACTTGTCCGTAAAGCTTTACGTAAGTGCTTTCAAATAGCAGAAATCCTCACATACCGCGGGTCGATCTTTGAAAATTCGAATTCTCGCCGGATGGCTCCCATCGTCGTCACCAATCACTGACAGACCGCTGACACGTACTTGACCCGTGAATGGTATGTTGAACAACAGCTCTTCATCGCAATCACTCATCACGAAGTCAGTCCTGCAGAAAAAAGACCTCAATACTTCCAATAAGCGCAAGAACGCTTATGAGAAGACATTTAGTGACTTCATCGTTATTGCTCCATTTTCCGAAATTCAGGCCAGATTTCACTCAAAGTATTTTTCTGAGGTACATTTGACCAAAACCTCATTGTGGTGGTATGGTAGTTTGACCCCTGGACATGAAAATCATAAATTCGCTCGAAACGGAAAGTGGCAGGCGTGCACAGCTGGTGCCAAGAACATTTGCAGTGGCCGCGAGCGCTGCAAATGATCTTGGCACCAGCTCCTGAAGCGCAGTTGGCACGGTAATTTGGTACTCTGTCCAAAATGGTGGCAGGAGTGCTAATAGTGGGAAAAGTGGCGAAAAAGCGAAGTGAAACGGTCAAAACCTGCAAAAAAGCCTTTGTTCTACACGACTCAGAAAGCAATTTTGGACGAGTTCCCGTTGGCATCGTGCCAATAACCGCTACGGTAGATACGGGTGCAAGTATGTACTCATATATCCATGCTCCATCACTGCCGCTTCATATCAATCAATTCGTATTGTACTTCGCAAGTGAAGCGATAGAGCATAAAGATCGGTCGGACGTTTATAGGCTGGCGGGCGCGGTGGGCATCCGGGTACTGATGCCGTTTGACGCGCTCACTTTCAGCTGCCGGCTCATTTGTGAAGTGCCTAGATCACCAAATCCGCTGAAAACTTGTATACAGGGGTAATTTAACATCCTGATTACGAATATGACATTCATTCTTGGCGCTGGCGCTAATGGAGAACACTACGATTATCTGCGCTCTGCTAAGGCTGAGCCCAGAAGATAATCGTAGTGTCCTCCATTAGCGCCAGCGCCAAGAATGAATGTCATATTCGTAACCAGGATGCTAAATAAACTGTATGCAAATTTTCAGCGGAATTGGTGATCTAGACACTTAATAAGTGAGTCGGCAACCAAAAGTGAGCGCGTCTAAACGCCGTCAGCCACATTCAGGTCGGGACGTTGTAGCTTGATAGGGCGCTATAAGGGTACCTTTCTTGGAAAAAGCGCACGCACAGGGGCTCCAAATGCAATCCTGCTAGGCGTATTAGTCCCACACATCTTAGAGATTTTTCGTGCCAACTGCCGTTACTCGTGTTCAAGGGCTCGAAATCTGGAAACAAGTTTCTAACGACGCTGGTGTTCCGAGGTGTTTGAGTGCTGACAGTCGTGATGCGGGTGCAGGAGCCAAAGCAGCCAGGTCCAACTATCCTACAACCCTGTTCCATGCACTTTGACAGGAGGAAGTGGGGCGCTACTGCAG